CAGTCTGGGAGCAGCGACAGCAAAAGAACGATCGCCCCACTGTTTGAGTCTTGACCTAGGGACCTCTAGCAGAAGCTGACCCGAGGAGCGTAAAGCTCTGCCACAATTGCGGAAAGTTAAAATCTCAGACAAGTAAGAGGGGGTAAAGCCATGAATGGCGTTAAAAACAAACAGCAGAAGTTTAAAATCGATTCTAAAACGGACTGGAAGCCAGTGGAGTGACGACAGCACAGGAATAATGTGTTTACGTCTGGATGTGTTTGTTAAAAATCGGGCAGCAGGGTTCTGCACAAGTTGGAGACGATAAATTGTTGACTGACTGAGGCCAACATAAAGGGCATTGCATTAGTCCAGTCTTGAACTAATAAAAGCATGGATTGCCTTCTCAAGATCCTGCCGACGGAGAAAAGACTTGACTTTGGCCAAAAGACGGAGCTGAAAAAAGCTTGAGCTAATCTGTTTGTCAAATTTGAGCCCATTATCAAATGTTAACCTAAGATTTTTGACATGACATTTAAAAAGGGGGGCTAGATTGCTGGAGTTTGAGGAGAGAACATTTGAAATTGATGGAGAACTAAACAAAATGCATTCGGTTTTGCTGTCGTTTAAGTGCAAAAAGTTCTGTGACAGCCACTGCTTTATATCTGTGATGCAGTCCAGTAGCTTAGTTAATGCAGTGTTTTCGTTTGGTTTCAAGGGCAAATATATCTGCAAGTCGTCGGCATATAAGTGAAAAGACAGGTGGTGTTTTTTTATAATTGATCCCAGAGGTAGCATATATAAAGAAAATAAAAAATAGGGCCGAGAATAGATCCCTGTGGCACCCCACAGGGCAGCGATGCCTTTGAGGAGCAGTGGTCACCAATCACGACAGAGAAACTCCTGTTTGCTAGGTATGACCTAAACCACTGGAGAACGGTGCCACAGATGCCGATGTGCTCTAGGCGAGATACAAGGACTGCATGGTCGACTGTATCAAAGGCTGCTGAGAGGTCCAGCAGTACCAGCACAGCAGGATTTCCAGCGTCCACAGACAGGGCAATATCATTGTTCACCTTTAACAGTGCTGACTCGGTTTTAAGTTGGATGAATTAAACCAGCCAGAGTTATAACTAAAAAACATTTTAGCAAATACAAATTTGAACTAAAAGGCCCTGTGATATCCGGTCCGTCAACTTGATGTTGGTTGACACCTCACCTCTCCTGTTTGGTCTTTTCATTTGAATCTACTGGCACCCGGATAAAGCAAACTGATAATGAAAAGATACCTTTGGTAATCCATTAGCTTTGTTTGTTGCTGTGAATGACAGTTAAAGTCTAACCAGCTGACACCTTCCGCATCTCTGTGGCCAGAGTTACTGGAGTTTCACCCCATTGAAGAAAAGAATCGATACAGGCAACACCTCTCAATTTCACATTGTGCATAAAAGAGTTCGCTAGAAGTTGGAAAAAAATACCTCCAAGAAGCACCACACCTTCAAAATATTCAAAGAATCTTTCAGTAACATAGGATAGTGGACAGTGAACTCTAGACAGTTGGGAGATTAGTTATTCTTTTATTCTTAACAGCAATAAAATACATAAGATATTGTTCTTTTTATTTTTCAAATGATGTTGGTACATAAAAACACAGAGGAAGGGAGATTGAGGGACCTCTGACTTCTTCATAGGTTACAATGTCTGCATTTGTCTCCTTGGAAACCAAATGTTTTGGCCAGTGGGTGGTGCTCATCTGCAATACTTTCATTGCGATACTTGCTCTGAACTTTAATTAAAATAGACATCAAATAAAGCCTAAGTTTAAAACACTGTATCTAAATAAATAAAAACAATTAAAGGCAGATATTTTCTTTGTAGTTGGGCATGCATCTACTGTTTGATAGGCTTAAGTGGAATGAAGTTTTTTCGCATTCTGGCTTTTCTAGATTCACTGGTATGATTATAGTCTAGCAGATGGTAGATTATACCCCACATGGGAGATATTTTTTTTTTTTTATAACTAAGGGCTTTCCTTGTGCATCACTCCTTAAATAGCTTTCAAAGAACAGACAGATTACATTGAATGTAACAGCCATAAAACCAAACACTCCACTGCCTTTATTTTCTTCTGGGTGAAATTAAACAACAAAGTCATAGATGACAAGGGGCAAAAAGATGGCCTTTGTGATGTAGACGACAGTGCATTTAAAAATTCCTTACTTCACATAAAATTTGAGAAGTTAAAGAGAGCCTTAGCACGTGTGTTTTAAATTCCCCCTAATAACCAGTAGTACAACAATGTGATCAGTAATTATGATGACATTTTGTGGCTTCATCAACTTTCTGAAATGAAAGAACAAAATGACAGCTCCCACTCAAGCCTGCCAAGAGTTTAAACCTCCGCCCTATAAAATTTTACATCCTTATTGCTGAAAGCTTTTATTAGATATTTCCCTCGCATGACAAGTCGGTGATTTGCTAATAATGGAGTTCATTACAGACGTGTTTAAAGAAATCAAACAGTGCATTGAGGAGAACTTTAAAAAAGACCCACATGACATTTTGAGAGTGTTGTTGATTTAGCAGGTCTGACACCTTAAATAGCTTATTTGCATGACCCAGCTCTCCAAGGTCTAAAGATCTACTTCATCCAAAGGTGCAGCATCAGTCTCTCATCACACACCACCAGGTGACCTCCAAATTAGGGAATAACGTCAACAAAGCTGCAGGTAAAGACATGGAATCGTCGGACCCTGAAATAATGTGTTGGTTTTTCTAAACAGCTTCAACGCCTCCTTGCAGCTTTTTATGACCTGATATCCTCGATCCTTCTGCTTATACCCAATAAAATAACCAGCCTGTGCTTCACCGATTACTGTCTTGTTGCCGATAGTTTTCATAAATGTAATCCTCCTAAAATACATCTAGGAAACCACCTCGGCTGGGCTCGGCAGCCTGCAGTCCGCTTACATGTAGAATTGTTCCACAAAGGATGCTGTCAATTTAGTACGTCAGACACTTTATTGCCTAAGGTATTGCTTACACATCCAAATGATTGGAATCAGGTATTCCTCTCACTTTCATGGCCATAGGTGTAAAAAGAAAAAAAAAAAAAAAATCAAGCACCTAGGGACGCAAATCGGTTTTACAGACATTTGTGAGAGATATGTCACTCTCAGCTCAGTGAATTACAGTAGGGAGAGTGAAAGGAGGACACCTGTCCAACTAAAATCAAGTCGTAAAATTTCCTTATTCCTAAATATTCCAGTCAACTGTCAAGAGAAAATGGAAGTAAACGCAAACCGATTGAGCGGGGTCAGCGACTGCTGAGCCACATAGTACCAAGAGGTCAGCAACTTTCTGCAAAGTATTCACTTCAAACTTCATGCGGCTTTTGGATTGGCTCAAGAACGGTGCTGAGAGAGCTTCATAGAATGGGTTTCCATGGTTGAACAGCTACATCCAAAGCACGCGTCGCCACCAGTGGTGTAACGAATCGCACATCTATTCTTCCTCTGGAGATCTGATGGACCGACCTCGGTTTGGCAGTGGCCAGTAGAGCGTTACTTGTCTTACTGCATTCTGCAAAGTATAAAGTTTGTTGAAGAGTAGGGGGCGTCATTGTGCAGGGTTGGTTTTCAGGAGCTGCGCTTGGCCCCAACATTTCCGTGAACGGAACTCTGAATGCTTCAGCATACCGAGACACTGTGTACAATTCCATTCTCCCAACTTTATGGAAACCGCTTGGAGCCGACTCCTTTCTCTTCTAACATGAGTTTGCAGCAGAGGACCAAGCAAGACCCATAAAGACATGGATGACAGAGTCTGGTGAGGATGAACCTGACTGGACTGCATAGTCCTTGATTTCAAACAGAAATATACTTCCAGAAGTGCATGTGAGGTCAGAAATTCCCATGAACACATTCTTAAACCTAGTGGACAGCCTTCTGAGTTGAAGCTGCAAAGGGTGGACCAACACCATATTGAGCCACTATGGATTAGGAATGGGATGTCGCTTAAACTCATACAGTATGCTATTCAAGGCAGGTGAGCGAATACTTTTGGAAATATAAAATGTTAGCATGCTGCTCAGCCCTCAGCAGCCCATTAAGTTCCTGCACGTTTACAATTACCCTGACCTCTCTTTGACTGTAACCCCTCATTTTGTTTTTAAACACTACGCGTTTCTATGCACAGATTTCTGTCTATACCTCTTCTCTGTTACAACAGTTTCATAATAGATCATCATAGTGGCACTTTAATTATAAAATTCTTGTAAGGATGGGAACAGACAAATCACTTCATCTGGGTTTCCTTGTTCTAAACAGAGGCGTGAATTAAATTCACTTTCTCAAAGCAGAAGATTTCATAAAAGAAATGTGTCGCATACAAAGGAGACGGTGAGTTATCTCTATTATTGGTGGCACTAGCAGAAAAAAAATAACTCATCCCAAAGCATTTTCTGATAGCGTTCAGATCTTTGTTAGTTTCTTTGAAGTTCTGACCTAAATCAGACAGAGTGTAAACTAAAAATAACATTTAGCAAATGTACATTTGAACTAAAAGGCCCTGTGATATCCGGTCCGTCAACTTGATGTTGGTTGACACCTCACCTCTCCTGTTTGTTGTTTTCATTTGGATCTACTGGCACCTGGATAAAGCAAACCGATAATGAAAAGATACCTTTGGTGCTCCATTAGCTTTGTTTGTTTCTGTGATTGACAGTTAAAGTCTAAATAACCGACACCTTCTGCCCTCTCTGTAGCCAGAGTTAATGTGAGTTGCATTCCCTTGAAGAAAAACAATTGATACAGGCAACACCTATCAGTTTCACATTGTGCATAAAAGAGTTCGCTAAAAGTTGGGAAAAAATACTTCCAAGAAGCACCACGCCTTCTAAATATTCAAAGAATCTTTCAGTAAAGTAGGATAGTGGAACTCTAGACAGAGTAAGATGGTGCAAAGAGCGAGTTTAAAGTTATTAATTTATTCGTACCAGCAATAAAATACAGAAGATAATGTTCTGTTTTTAAGAGTGTTTTATTTTTCAAATGATGATGGTACAGACCACATGAAAGCACAAAGGAAGGGAGATTAAATCATCCAGCATGTGGATAAATTATGGTGACGGCAGGGGGGATGGGGGCAAGCAAGAGTACCAAATGAAGTAAAATATCGTATCAAAAGTTTCATTCATTTTGTTCATATATATATTTATATAGGACTAATAATTCTCTTTAACAATGCAAAGCAAGGAATGCCCTTTTTTTCCACGTATCTTTAGCTTTGGCTTTCCTAATCTGGAGCCAACTTTTTTACTCATCCAAAGCAGGAAGAAAAAAAAAAAACGAAATGAAAGAAAGAAAAGCTGGACACAATATCTGGGAGGCGAAGGGGGGGGCGTCCTGACGTCCTGTCCAATGTGGCGTTGAATCCGATGTTGCGCGACTGATCGCGTCCAATTGGGGGTTTGAATTACTCCAGCAGATGCCGGATTCAGCGGGAGAAGGTCTTTCCACTAAAAGACAAACACGGAAAAAAAAACAATGTTGTGTTAAGTGAGTGGCTAAGTGAAAATAAAAGTAACGATGAGCCGCCCCATCGGGCGAGTAAAACCAGTATCCTGTTAGTATCTACACTGTAAACAGGAGAAACATTACCTACTAAACGGCTAGATAGAAGTTTTTCCACTGATATTTTCTCTTCATTGTTTCATTCATGACAGGTTAAAACTGACTTCTTTTAGTTTTTTTGTTTCATAGAAAACATATCTAACCAAATGCTTAACCTGATCCTATTTCTCAATGGGGGGTGATTGAAGAAGCTATTGTTACTTTAACCTCTGAATAATAAAGTCCACCTGAGGCTCCTTTTAAAGAAAGTATCCCTCGCTCCATAATCTTCTCCACTTGTAATAGCTCTGCGTTTAACTCTTTCACCAGTCAAAGCCAGAAAATCGAACATGCTTTGGTTTCATCTTTCTCAGACAAGTTGCACTAAAATGAGGTCTAAATTCGACTATATAATCTGATGAATGGATTTTATTCCCGCTAACAAAGTCCTTACAACCTGATCTGAAGCCAGATTTACCAGGGAATCTAGTCTCACCGAATGATGTGGACAAACTTGAAAATTGGATCTTCTGCAGGACTACTTTATCCAATAATTAAGGGTGTAGTTGATTGCGGAAAAAAAAAACAAAAAAAAGAAAAGCAAATTGACAGTGACAGGACCGTTTCGGTATGTTTAGTCCGTTAGTAACTTCTAACTAAATCTGTGAATGGCAGTTTCATTTTCATTCATTAAACCTGAGAATCCAGAATCCTTTAAAAAGCTCATAGTTGGGTCACATGTAAGGCTGCAACTAACGTCTATTTTGCAAATCAATTAATATGTTGATTCTTTTTTCCAATTTATTAATTAATAATCGGATAGCAAAAGGTTACTTAAAGAGGACTTCTTACGAAATTAAACCAGATGAAACTACATTTTTTCCACTTGAGTTAGATTATATTGACGAAAAAGCTTTTTTTAAAATCTTAAATGCAAAATGTTTACATTTTTTTTTTTTTTACACAATTTTGGTATAATTGCTGCTCTAAGGTTTGCTCTGTCAGCTCAAGGCAAGTTATACAGTCTATGTACTCCAGTTAAGGATTATTCAATGACTAATTTAGTTGATGATTATTTCAATAATCGATTAATAAGATTGTTTCAGCCCTAGTTACATGTTACAGCACAAGCTCAAACATCGGAGGCAAACATGGCAACACCTCTCAGAAAACATACAAATCGAGAGCTCACTAAAGATAGAAGGAAAATAGCTCCGTCTTAAAAATACGGCGGTGGCGTATCTTGAATTAATCTGTCCTTCTGTAGTAACGTCTGCTCACGAAAACATGTTTCTGATTCATACCCATGACTGGCAGTGTTTAGACTCTAAATAAAACAAGCCTGATTTTATCCAAAAGGCAAAAAGAAAAAAAAAATCAACTGAAAAGAATTCCTAAAGTCTGAATCATGCCACTGAAACGACATATTTCAAATCAAAAGACTTTTTTTTATCTTGTTTTTCTCCAGACAGACGTGCATCGATGAACGTGAATAAAAAAAAAACAACTCACGAAATGGTCTTCATCTCCTTCTTCTCTGCGTCAGGTCGGGCACGGTTCAGCACCTTGAGGAAATCTGACGTCTTGGCTCTCATCCTTGTGTGAATGTAGGCCTGAAAGAGAAAGAAGAAGAAACTATGAAAATGCCGCACAAGATTCCTATCAGCAAGATTTGAAGACAACCGGACACTTTTAGCTTCTAATGACGAAGGACTTCAGTGCAATTCAGAAACACAATGCTGTGCTATGTAAATGTCCAATTAATGCTTCTGGATAAAGATGGAATGAGAGATTATAGGTTTCGAGGGCATAGCAACCCCTGGCGGTCCATAAATATGCCTTTGTTGACTCACTGACTGTAAAAGCAAGCACATCCTTTATCTGCTTTGTGATCAGGAGGTTTCCACAGAATCTAAACTCCAACCTTGGAATGAGATTTCCCATAAAACAAACACGGATCTAAAACATATCAAAGTATTTAACCCCCAAAGACATGTTTAGACAGGACTCATCCTTTCATATGGGGACCCTTATTTAAAATATGCACCTTAGGTTTTTGTTAGAGACAGGAAAGCATAGAGAGAAACATGTTATTAAGCGGTGAGGCTTAACAACCTGTTTGAGGTCTGCTACCTGCTGATGTCTCAGCTGCAGCCAAAGTAAATCTTATAAATCTGAGGAAAGTATTCTAATACTGGCATAAAAACAACATGTCTTTTTAGTTTGAATATTAGGACTTTAGTGAAGAGGGTTCACCTTGGAGCACTTTATGTGGTAGTGCAGGTAGTCCCTGAAGGTGTGGATGAGGTTGATGGTGTTGTCTCTGGCATTGGCATTGGTGTGACGAGGAAACAGGACTGTAAACAAACACAGGAACACTTAATGAAACCAAACGGATGAGACAGCAGCGTGTAGGGCAGCCGCGGCGGTACCGACCGAAGGTGATGTATCCGATGTTGTCGCCGACGGCGGCGTCTGTGTCCTTCAGCTCCAGAGGAGGCTCCCTGTGGCTGAAGAGCACCTGGGGAGCCGTGTGGCTGGCTCTCCGACCCTCCTTAAACTCCTACACACACAGAAACAGATGTTTGCTCCATAATTATATCCAGTGTCTTCTAAATATGTTCAAAACAGATATCGCATAAAAAATATTGATTGGAAACAAGAGCATCTGTGAAAGTTAATTTTCAATTTCTACATGCAGAGTTTGAAAAATGTAATGGAAATACATTTTGGATCAACTTGACCAGCTGTCATAATTAATATAAAACTTTAATAGGAGGATTAACTTTATAAGCTGTGGAAAGAACTCAATTGTTTTCTTTTTACTATAGCTGCTAATCTAATAATTATACGGCATTTTAAACAGCTGAAAAATAAAGTAACAGAACTCAAAACAAAACGTTACTCCTCTGCCACCAAGGGAATATATATAAAAGTTCTGATAACAGCTACGGTTTGTGTTTGAGGGAATGAAATGCAGAGTTTATTTGAGATTGAGGCATCTGGTTGGGTGTGAAAGTGATCCAACATTTTTTTGACAATTTGGGCACTTTAGCCTGTTATGTCGAAGGATATAGTTTCACCAGGCGCCAAAATAGTTGCAATAGCTGGTATTTTACTGTTAAAAACGTCTGCATTTTGTATTTACTTAGGGAAATCTTTTTTTTTAATAAAATTAGATTGATGATGTTAGACTTTTTTAAAGCACTTCATGTTTGAGTGCTACAGCTTCCGATGCGGCGTCGCTCACCTGCATGAAGACTTTGCCGATGATGACATCGTCGTCGTCTTTGAACACTGTGCTGAAAACAACCGTCACTCTGTCTTTCTTGGCCTCCACGTACCTGAGGGTTCAGACAGATTTAGTTTTAGTAAAGGGAGGCCATTTTCCCCCTAAACCTTATAACTAAATATCCATTTCATCAGGAACAAACTTGTTTCTACAAAAACAGAACAATTGAAAAAAAGGAACTTAAGATATTTGGATCTAACCTCTTCCTATCTGATCTCATAATACACATAAAAGCAAATACTTCACTCTCTTCTCAACATACATTGACTCATCGTCTCTGTAGTGGACCACAGCCCTCTTCTCGCCCTCTTTGCCCTCTTCCTGGAACTTGAAGTACTTTTCAAACACTGAGGCGAAGCAGTTCCTCTTTAGCATCCCTGCCTGGTGAACAACCTCATCTTTATTGGCTGGTAGGGCCTCCAGGTCGTAAAGCAGGGACACATTGTAGCCTTAAAGAAGAAAACGAATAATAAGTGACAAAAAAAAAGAAGGGAAAACATCAAAATTTCACGGTTTTGTGATAAAAGCAAAATAAAGCAAACACATTTATTGATACACAGCTTTAAAAAACTAATCTTCAATAATTGCTAAATTAGGAATAGGTTTGAAATAAGTGTGAAAAAAGCACCAACATTACAGAAATATATTTTTTTTGCAAAAGAGTCTGAGTTTTCAGTAACTAGAGGACATACCAGCCTCTGGTGAAACCAGGAAATTCCCATAAGCCTTCTTGAGTACCTGTAATAAAAAAAAAAGAAATACATGTCTGACTTCTCTCAAAAACAAAGATAGAGCAGACTAAAAAGAAAAAAACACAAAGGTGGTTTGAGAAACAACCAAGCTTTGCAAATTAATTTAAACAAGGAAGTGTGTTTCAATTCTTTTGGACGACTGCAGTTACACTCAAAACGCAAAAAATTCAGCAACAACGAATGCTTAAATAGTCCCTAAGAATGCTGCATTTAAGCATATTAATGAGGAAAGATAAATAATGGAGGTAAGGAGCTGAATTACATAATGAGAGTTTATAATTTACAGCACAAAGACCTAATTTTCAGTAGATTTCAGGTTATTAACATTCCGTCATAATCTAATTTTCTAGATTTCAATAGCTATCTTAATTATCATGAAAAATGCATCACTAATTTTATTGAGAGGCACCAGTACCTCTAAATGTGCTCATTCTGCTGTAATCGAGCCTCTATTTATAATCCTACTTGGCTCGTTGTACAACTTTGGGTCAATTCTGGTCACATTTTGCAAACCTCAAAGAGTTTGGAGCCCAGAAACAGCTGCTCTGATTTCCACAACGCTCCACTGCTCTAAATATCCGCAGCTTGTGTGTGAAAATAAGAAGGTGGACAGAGTTGAGCTTAATACCAGCTCTAGAGACAGTACAAAGGAACCTAAAGTAACAATCTGTGCAATAAAAGACTCAAACTGGGGCTGCAGAGGATCTAATGAATGCCTGTCTGCTTGGTATGAACAGGACATAAATGCAAATAAGATGGAAGTATGGCAGAAATCCAACTTTAAAACTAATAACTGTTTGTATACCCCCCTCAATTAGGGGGTAATTTAAGAAAGAAATCTTTCAAATCAAAAACAGACAAGAATGTGTCAGAGTTAACACATTCTTAACAGATTCAAAAACAAGAACTTCCTCAATAAGTCTTTTTATGTTAACTGTTAACTTATAAATAACTCACATCCAACCCTGTTGAGTCCTTTAGTTAAGTGTGTAGTGGTGTGTGTAGGGAGGGGGGCTCATGTCTAACAAGCAGTCAAGCCATGAGCGTACACTGTCTGCTGCTCGCAGTCAGCACTTCCTCGCCTGGGGCGAGTCATTCGACTCACTTCCTGTTTCAGCCTGAAACCACGGCAGCTGCTTTCTTCCTTACATGGCAACATGTCAGTTCACTAGGTATGTGCAAAGAGCAAATATGACTTCAGTGCTTCTTAAATCATCCCAGATCAGGGCCGTACGTCAACACGTCAACCTAGATGGAGTTTCGGCCTGTGCCATCAGCTGATAAAGCCTATATTGTCGTAGTTTACATGCTTGCTGATACACCATCAGTGCAATGTCAATAATTGTTGCAGTTTATATGATGCATGAGTTGTTTATTTTGAGAATAGAGGAACAATGGGTCAGTTCTTTGCCCTTTAACTCAAACTTAAAACAAGAAACATCCTTTTTTTTGACACATTCAAGCCCGTTCATGCGTTCATTTACTGAGAAACGACACCTTGGCAGCAGCAAAGGAATTTACTGACGGCTGCTTATGAACATCTGGTCAGCCTATGATTATTGCTGATCATCGGGTGTTTACCTCGTCAGCGCCGTGCTCCTGCAGCTCCTTGTAGAACTTCAGGGAGATGCTGACCATCACTTTGGTCTTGTCCCCATTGGGGTTGGAGATGTGGTACAAGACGCCATCAAAATCTGGGGGGAAAAAAAAAAGGAACAACATGAATGTTTTGAGGTGATGAATTAAAATGTTTGGTGCTTTTCTAGGAAAACATAAAAATCAACAATAGTTTTCACCTCCTCTAAGAGCAAGTCATGAAAGCTAATACCTATATTCTTTTCACCTAAGATTCAAAAGGTTTTACAAAAGTTTGCTAAATAAAACCAAATATTCCGCAAAAAAAAAAACATAAAATTTGGGGGAAATGTGGTTAAATGTTTCTTACCAGCAAACGTCACATCGACAGCCTCAGGTTTGGTTCTGTAGGAGCAAAATACAAGCATTTAACGACAGATTTACAAGCAAATACTATTTTAAAAATCTAATCTAACAAAGCTACGCACAGAATTAATTGAGAAATGACTTCTCACAACAAAATAACATACAGGAGCTAATATACAGAGCTGTTAGCTTTATCCCTGAAGGCAACAAACAGTTTAGAAAGTTGGATTTAAATGATGTTCTACATTAGCAACCAGCCAAAAGAGACTTCCCTCATATTTACCTAACTTAACTTGCAACAATGACAGGACTTAACTAATGTTTAAAATCACATTTCTTTAAAAAATAAAAACTTTCTGTAGACAGAGCAGCCATGGTTGGATAACCTGCTTAAGTTACCATCAGATAGATGAAACCGGAATAATTTGAGATAAATTGTAAGATTTTTATTTAAGACTACAAAATCCTTAACGTTATACTATTGTGTCTGGCCATGTATATGTTACTTTTCGGGGATTTAACTGGAGGGAAAGTTCTCCTCATAGGTTGGGGGTTATTTTAAAGACTAAGATGTGAAAAGAGTTCATGTTGGTAATGGTGAGGAATGCAAAATGAACATAAGTAAATGGAAAGTCACAATATGGATAGCCGCGACACATATGTGCACATATGCAGAGTGATGTTTTAATTAACTCTCAAGGCTCAAGGTAAATGACTATAATTAGATTGAAAAAAAAAGACACATTTCCCCTTTATTGGTGCAACATCTTCTTAGAATTCAAATATATCATTTTCACTACCTCAGTTTAGGTCTGTTTCTACCTAGGGCTTGCATTTTACTCTACTTTTATAAATAAAAGCCAATATGATATTATGGGCTTATGCTGTGATATATATACACATGCAAATTAATCTTTTATACTGGAATAAGAACTAAAATCTCTTACAAAGAACCTGAAAAATATTTTATTTGGGTATGTTACAGCTTTTAGATAAATTTTAAAGTAAACCACCAATTTGCATCACAAGGGAAAAGCCTGAAAAGCACATTGCTAAATATAACATGATAATAATACTGAAAGTGATGCATAAAAGCAAAAAAACGAATAAAACGAATATAATTAAAGAGAAGCACTGGTGATAAATGAATTTGGATGCCCATAGAAATTGAGATTAAAATAATGAAGGATCTGCATGTTCAAATGTAAACTAACAACAGATGAGGGGTATCCTCATGCTTATTTTATTAACATTTCATATATTATTTTGTATCGCTTTAATCCAAGTAGTTGTTTAGAAATGCATAGCAGTAGCATTGCTTTTCCATGGATGCTGCAGGGACCTGTTGGAGCAGCTGATGCAGCAGCAGTAGCTGGATCTGCAGCAGGCAGACTTGACTCGGCTTGACTACAAGAATGCGGAAGCAGGAAAGAAGAGCTATGATTTAAGAGCCACATAATGGGTCTACGAGACCCTGCAAAGCACCCAAAAAGCTATTTATTTACTGCACATCACAATAATTATTTCGGTATAATAATTACTACTCAAAGTTGAATAAATCAGTGTTAAATAGATATGAGTGGGGGAAGATTTAGCCTCTCAATGGGTTTTGGAGAGTGGATAGAAATTGTTTTCTAGATTCGTGTCTTAATTTTCTTTAGCTGTTCTTAAAATTACCAAACTTAGAGTTTTGCATTGAGCTGCACATAGTGTCTCGTCGGGGAGTTAATCTGACCAGGATTGCCATTTTTGACACAACACGGTCAGTGAAGACACACCCCAGCTTCTAGCAATACAGCCGAGGCAGAGCAGTCAGCTAACAAGTTTATGCTTTTCCGACTAACTCAAAGCCGTTTACAGCTAAAAAAAAACGCCGTTGTGTGGGCTTTTCTCGGTGGTATCGTTTTATTATGCAGCCGTCATCTTCAGGGAAACGCTGAAGGGGGAAGCTAGCTGCCGTTAGCAGTTTTTTCCTCACCCGTTGGATGCGCCGTCGAACTTCAACGTCAGCGTCTCTTCTATGATGCGGTTATTAATTTCTAACAGAATCATCGCAGCGGATGCCGGTGTTATTTGGTGGGATTAAGCTTCGGTTATTTTTTTTGTCTAATATTGTGTGGAAAATGTTTTCCTCCGTTGACAGACAAGACCGCTTCCGTCGAAGCTCCCTCCGCCTGTAGCTTCCGCGTACTTCACACACAGGACCCTGCCCGGCTGATTTGGGTGGCCTGAAATATTGCCTGTCCTTAATTCGTCATAACAGTGAAATCAGCGCCATAAGCGCCACAAAAATGTGATTCATAAGCCCAGAAATACCACTTTGAAAATTAACGCTATTTATTGAAAAATAAAAAATAAAAATATTAGACTGCGACCTATTTCTTACGCTGTTACGACAGTATTGGCAATAAATACAATTGTTTTTCAGTAAAATGGCAAATACTTTTTTGTCCTTAAATGTTATTTCAGTCATTTGATTGAAAATAAAAATAAAATCTTTACTTGCATGTGTATTAAAAGGTTAATATTAAGCGTTTAATTTTTCAAATTTAATGAACCAAACTTTGTCACCTCAGATTAAAAAAATACATAAAATCAACTATAGATGCATTGGCAAGAACAAAAAAAAGATAGGCCACATAAGGTCATTTCTAAAGCATTTTGGTGCTCACTAAGAATTGTTTTCAAATTTGTTAATGGAAAATTAGGTAGAACTGGAAATTACAGCAGTGCAGAAATAATTATGAAACAATATCCGGTGAAGCATTTGTATGAGGTTCCCAGGATCTGTACTCTAGCTGCAGCCAGTGCTTAAAGTGTCACCTCAGGCATAGCCAGGATGTTGGTAACAACTGTTGCGTTTTCAATGTTACCCCAGTCCTGAAAGAGAAACATCGCCATCATGTCTTAACTGGATTAAGGGAATAAAAGTGACAAGATTGTTATTCAGTTTTCCAAGGTCTGCAAAGGTCAGATGGGTGGAAAACTATGAACTTTAACTTTGTTACTGGCTCATTAGAGCAACAGCCTGACTGTCTGCATGCCACACCTTTTTTGATGGAGTAACTCTGTCAAACAGAGTTAGTTTCCAGTAGAAGTCATTCTTTCAAGTCAGGTGTAATTTCTCAACATCAAACATATAAAATGAAAAAAAAAAAAAGATAATGAAATTTTCTTTGATCTTTAGGCTTCTGTAATACTAAATGATTGAAATGCAAAATAGGTCATTGAACACTGAATTATTAAAATTTTAGAGGTATGGTTTAGCCAGTTTTTAAATTCCACATTCAAACTGGTGGAAGCTTTTATGATAAACAATAAAGAGGGTAAAAAGCACCACTTTCAGAACAAATAATACATTTACCTGACTTTGCTTCGCCTTACTTGTACTATAAAATATGATTAAAATCATACACTATTATGCAACCATAGCACACTCAGATTTGGAGAAAGAAAATAAAAACAAAGGCCATTCTGGTTGATCCATGAAGGCAATCTGGACAAGTGCATTCAGTTTAAAGGGCCCTATGGCACATTAATAATTATCCAATTAGATTTGATTATTTTAACAGCAGCATTTGTGGACTAGATTTCAGGATAGTTACTTTGAAAGTAAGATTGTTTCGACTTGTGATGAAATACAACACATTGTCTTTGTTGGCTAATTTACAAAAATGGGTGGGAATAAAGACCAGGTTAAGTCCTGGCACCTCCTTAAAATCAGTTTCTCTTTCAGCCATGCAGCACTAAAAACTGACTCGATTTTTGTTTAATCTCAACAACTGTCCCTTTCATAAACAGATAAGTCTGAAGACCGCCCATTCGCAGCCAAACGAAGGCGGTGCGAATACTTTAAAGAGAAAAAACTTCTATAAGGATTTGTTTCTTTAGAAAAGTTAAGAGACAAAGTAATGGTTTCATTGGAGAAGAGTGAAGTTTTCAGCTTTAGAGATCCCGAAGACATTTCTTGCTTCCATTAGTAAGTCAGATGGAGAGAGATCATTATTAATTACAGGAATAATTTAGCCATTTTCAGATATTTGTTTTTATTTTAACACCTCCAATTTGCTGTGATGTTATCATTCTGTTAATCATATTATGAACGGTAGTTTTTTATGTAGTGGGTCTATCTGTAATCTTGCTGGATTACACTAGAGAGAGTTAGGACTGAAATAGATTCTATATAACTGTAAATGAAAATGCAGCCATTACTGAGAAAAGAATAATTATCTATCATGCTGTATACCTTATGATGGAGTCTGATCAAATATAATAATAGGCACTCTGTTGCCATTTGCAGTTCTATCTATTTCACCATGTACTATAAAAACAGGCTGCTAATGTTATAAAAATTATTTAAAAGAATAGTTAAGAGCCATGAAAAAAAGATTGAAGAATCTATTAGTAATATTCTAACCTCTATATGGACAGATTCCATCAGGTGAGGGTAGCGAACAGCTGTAAATAGAGCATTTATTGCCCTACATCAGTTAAGTTTGCCAAACTTCAAAATATTTCCTGGTATCAGCCTCTATTTTCATTTTTCCTTATCTGCTTTGGGGTCTTGTCCAATGATTCATTTTCTTTATCCTTCCGCTTTTGTTTTGCAAAGTCATATATTTTTCCTTTTAAAAACCCATCTCAGATTATTTTCATCTCATTGTCAGGTAAGCTGGCCACAGGGGAGACGACTTCGCAGTGCTGTTTTCTTTTGAAGTTTAAGGTAAGTTGTACGGTAAGTAAAAACAAAAATGTTTTTCCACAAAATTAATCCAAAGCAGGTTTGGAAGTATATCTGTTTATAGATAAAGGACCTAGAGAAGGGTTAAAGGAAGCATTTTTAGGCAGTAAATGGCAAAAGTATTTCCACAGTTTATATTTTATTTTCCTTGTTTGATATTTTAAACAAAAATAGTCACTTTAAGCTTTTTTATTTATTAAAACCTAAGGTTTTTTTCAGCATGTTCCTATCAGCAAAAATTAGGAACCAATTTTCTTCTTTGCAATTTAAATTAAATTTATTAGAACTGACACATTAGAGGGTGTTTTAAGTGACAATTTCTTAAAACGTATTATCAGTGCCTTAGAAGTATACAAGAAAGCTTAAAATATAAGGTAATTATATTGGAAAATGTGCCTTATTTATAACTTTATGTATCATGGAAATGTATATTAATAACAGTTTTTTTTAACTACACACTAAAATAATTTAGTCGAAAAGAAGCAAAAATCAAATTATACCAGTATTGTGTATGACAATATCACCCACAGTGTAGAATAAATACGGTTTCTTATTCTCTTTTCGTTATAATCGTAAATAAAATTATATTAAAGTTAAATTATACAATTAATAAAATGTGATAAAAATACACACATATATATTTTTACTACATTTAATAGACAATTGAAATTAATCAATTCATATTAGGAATAAAATAAGCATTGATTTTGATTTTCAATTGGAAACTGTGTTTTTTGCAATATTTTTTTTTTATAAAAATTTGTCTGATATAGAAATATTTTATTCATTATTTACCTCTCTAGTATTAAACCCTATTTATTTATTTTATGTTTAATGAATTTACAAATTAAGCTTGAGTGTAAAGGCTATATCAGGATATGAATTTGGATTTCTAAAGAATTTTCTGGTTGCCCGAGCTTTGATGGGAAGAAGGGATCAATCAATCAATCAAAGTCATTTAAAGCGTAAATTAAAGAGGAAATAAAGTTTCTCTGAAACGTCTTTAATGAAGCTCCAGCTATGTGAAAGATATGTATTACTAACATACCTGTGTGATATTATCTGCTTTTATTTTCTTTGTGTTGTTCTTTGTTAATCTCATGCTTTTAGTTTCTCTTTAAGGGATGCGCTTCCTCTTAAAAACCATATTATCTTAGAGCTTAAAGGTGCCATATAGAAAAACAAACATACATATTGTACGACTGCTAGTATCTCATCAGGAATGCAGCAAATTCTTTCCACCTTTTAACCTCTTTATCTGCCTTCTGCGATTAGTTTGAGTAGATAACATGCTGTTCAGTATCTATGCCTGCTTGTAAAAAGAAAAAAGCTTTTAGCAGAATAAACAAAATACCAGAAAATTAAAGACTCCTGACTTCGAACCGAAACTGTATCTGCAGGTGCGTCAACAGACTATTTAAAATGAATAAGAAAGGAATAAGCTTGACTCACTCAACAGAAACCCTTTTTTTATCATGAGACAGAAGGACTCTATGTGTTTTGCAGGTGTAGTTAATTACTAAGATGCCAACAAAGACTCCAATCAGTTGGCAAAGTAAAAGAGAAACAACTAGAATGATTGTGAGCCAACAATTTAAATTAGCATCAGTTACTGTAGTAATCTAATAACTAAACGTTTCTGAAAATTGCATTTAATCTAACATGTTTTTTTGGGCCTGCAGAAGAAAACTCAGAGTAACCACAGCTGAAGGTGAAACCCTGCATATGAACAGTTTAAATGGGGGAACTTGGGATTCTGTGAGTTCAAGGAGTGATTGGACAGAACCCTCATGTGTACAGAATGAACCGAAGATCTTCAGCTGTTTTGGATCCACTGGAGGATGGAGATATATATATTTTTTTATTACCCAAAGAAGCAACTGGAGAAAACCCAAGAATGGACAGTAGGAACTTTACTTGGAGGACTGGGAATACCCAAACTGGCCCAATAAAAGGTGCTGATGCACATGAAGAACCTCACAACTCAACTTGGATGACTTACAACGCGGAGCGTTGGCGGAGAAACTGCAGCAGGCAAAGAAAAAGATATCTCTGCAGGAGTAAAAATAAAAACAGACTTAACATCGATTTGGAATAGGTAGACTTCTGGACCTGAATGCAAAACTTTGTTTCCCCTGATTATTGGATTACGTGGAGAGACCCAACACAAGCACATGGAGAACACCTTCAGCTACTTGAAGAGGTCCCAAAGTGCTTTTTTTATTCCTTTAGTAACTAAAGTAACTCTTTGCTGATGCTTATCAGGAGAAAGTATTGTAAAATAGTAAAGAGTTAAACTAATAAAAAAAAAAGTATATATATATAAGCCCTTTTTTATGTGGAAATTGCACATTTCAGAGGTTGAGGAGGAAAACATTTTTCTCTAGAATGAAACCTCACTGGAATGTCTTCTACTTTCAGTTCCATTGGCAGACAAATGCCATCAACCAAGCAG